TACATCAGCTTTTATTTTGTAATAGCCCTCCATCAGAGAAACTAACTATATTTTCCTGCTCTACCTGGACTTAAAGGCGCACCATAACTTTTAAAAGTAGAAAAAAAATCACAATCTTATACTTTAAAATGAAAAGCTCAAATAAAACACATTTTAGGAAACATGTAACCGGAAGAAAACACTACAAATTGCACTTTTTACTCTGCTACATTCATCAAAAAGCTTATTATCATGACCATTTAAACACAAAACACAGCTTATAAAAAAAAGACTAACCATTTATCTTGTATGTTTACCTGTGGAATAATACTGTTACTTCAGTAATACTCCACATTAGAGCATATATTCATATTATATTAAAATGTTAAAGGTCACGCCTGCTGTTTGGTCCTGCAGTTAAAACCATTATATGATGAACCTGCTGCTCATTAAACAAAGTTACAGCGTCCTCTACTGGACACTGGAGCGCATCACACCGATCAAAACTACAGCAACATGTAAAAAGCTAAAAAAATAACAATTTTTAAATTGTTTTGTTTTCTTTTAAAGCTCAAATAGAACAAATAATTGTCTATAAGCGTATTAAACCACACCAATCTGTAAAATGTCTCTCTCTATTTGACATTAAACTACATTTAGAGTAAGAAAATACCCGCAGAGACACGAACACTCACTCTTTGTGTGATCAGATCACCTTTAATATGGTCAGCATGAAAAGATTCACTCATACACTGAGAGAGGCAAAATATTGAAGGCAAATCCACAAATTATAATAAGTCAAAATGTTACAAAAGAAAACATCATAACAAGAGGTTACATTTGTTTAAGCTGTGCAGAAAATGTACAAATGACAGGCGTGAGTCAGGTTAAGGCAATACAACATTAAAATGCATTATATAGAATACATATTTTAAAAAAGGAAAATAAGGAGACAAATATATATATTTATATACAGATACACAAAGATACTGCAATTTGGAGCCTCGGCCACCTGGGGTTTGAAAAATATAAGTATAATAAGTACAAGGCTTTTTTTTTAACATTTTAATCTAGAAGCGAGCAACAATAATATATTTATATTTCTATATTATATTTTCGATGGATTTTGAAGAGGAGAAGAGGCATAAAGGTGCGAACAATCACTTCCTTTTGTACTGAGTCGACCATCTGTGATGACTTTGGGTAAATCTGCTGTTTAAGGCACACCTGGTGGTTTTGTTTTAGCGACTAAAAGCACCAACAAAAAGTCCACAAACACATCCACAGTAAGCTTTCAAGCAACCCTCCTTTACTTTATACTGCAGTTAGTGGTTCACTACATTACCCAGAATGCCTTTCGACAACTCCAAGAGAGCGGGGCAGGTTGCTGAATGCAGCGTTCACGTCATACGGCGTGTCCCAGATCCATACGACCCGTACACACTGACTCTACACTGTGAGCACGCGCAAACCAGACACAGACAAGAGGCACAATTTTCTCACAATGCAATGCACCAAGAAAACGTAGTCTTCCTGTTAGTATAGATTACGTGTGCAGATCTTTGTTTGCATACGGTTTTAGCTGCTGTGTGACGATTGGTGCGCAGAACTGTACAGAGTCAGTCTGTCAACCTCCAGACCAGAAAATTATAATGCAGTTAAGTTATTTTAACCCGAAGCAGTTGTTGGAACGGATTATATCGAACTTTAAATAACACAAACTACGTTTTCTAAGTTAGAAAAGTGACACTAACTTTGTTTTGTTAACATTCCTGATTAATGACTTTTTACCAGGTGTTTTGTTTTCACAGCACAAATAAAAATGAGTCAGCGTCACTTAAAATGATTAAAGATACTTGATCAATAATGTTTTTCAACGTATAAAATTGAGTTTTATTTAAAATGTTCGATGCAATCAGTCTCAACAGTTTTTACAGTGCGGATATATCGGACATATAAGTGATACAGACTGCAGTTGTGGCTATTACACAGAGCTGGTAAAGACGGAATATTTTCATTATCCATTATTTTATAAATCTGATGATTATTTTTTACAATTAATAGATAAATTGTCAAAAAATAGTGAAACAATGACCATTGTAACTACCCAGCGTCTTGAAAACGTCTTGTTCTGTTTGACCAACAGTCTGAAACCCAAATATCATCAGTTAACGACGATGTGACGAACAAAAGCAGCACGTTTTTAACATTTTATAACTTATTTTTGGTTTAAAAAAAGACTTGTTTTAGCTCTAATTCATTGCAGGAGATTGCAGACTGAGTTGGTCGTGTGGAAGTTAAAAATACTGTGCTGTGATAATGTAACACTTCCAGAGCGTCCTGAGTTTTTCCAGGATGCTGATGAACACTATTTACAAGAAGCTGTTAATTACGGTAACTTCCTTATGACATGAACGCAGCTTAGTTGTAGTCTGTGAATATCAAAACATTTCCACACATCTACAATCGTTCTGGTCTGTAGATCTGCATCGTGTCTCGTCCCTTTGGTATCCTCGAGGATAAAGCATCACAGATGGCTTTACTGACTTCTTTTTGGTATTTAAGTCAAATATTCAAGTTTGCTGACACCACTTTTGACTTTTGCGGCTTCTAAAAATCATCTGAAAACAACTTATTCTAGGAGATTTCTTATTTTAAAGTACAGAAGTGCTGATAACGAGCGACACGAAGGCTCGCTTGGACTCATGGCTCAGTACTGGATGAAGCGACGCACACTTCTTGCAGTTTGAGGCGTTTCTCTTCCATCTAAGTGCTGAATCGTGTTGTTTAGTATAACCAACAATCAAAAACAGGTCAATTAAAAGGCTTTTGAAGTTTTCACCCCCTTTTTATTTTAAACTTTCAAATTGAAGTGTTCATTTTTTCCTCCTCATTTAAAATATACATTAGCTGCCTTGAACCGTTTTTACTTCTGCGTTTCGCTGCCGGACGGTCGTCAACACTCCCGGTCCGAGCAGGAACGTCGATAAATTAACTACAAAGACAGAAACAGGAAAGAGGAAGAGGACGGAAATTAGTTGTGGAAAATGTGAATAAAGCGTCCACTCTCACAGACACATCCTGGCCTTTCAGGTTCTTGTACTGAAGCTCCTATCGTGCTGTCAGACGGAGGATCTGTGAATTATGCTTTGGCAAACACTTTAAAAGGAACAGTGCAAGAAAAACATCTCAACTACTGGCTGGGTGAAGTTAGGGCCGGTTTAACTTTGGTTTCAGTCGTACGTCAAATCTGAGTTTACACCTTCCTGCGAATATTCCCGATGGAAATGTTTTAAAGTGTGAACAGACCGTCCCTTTAAAGTCTGTCAGTTTAAGGCACTGTCTATAATTTTCCTCCCCTAAAACAGGAAAACAACAACACAGAAATATTAAAGGAAAAGAAAAATGAAAACAAAACTGGCTCAATGACAAAAGCTCTGAATGATTTTAAAATATATAAAAGAGGCACTAAAAAGCAGCTGTTTTCACTGAATCATCTCGTTTAAATCGTAACAATCGTCTGTTAGTAGGATGATCTCGTGATGTTGTGCGTTTTTTATTTCTATACCCTGTCTGCAAAGCAAATCTCCCTCGCTGGGACAGTAAAGAGTTGAAATGAACTTAATCAAGACGCATTTCCAAAAGGACAAAAACAGCAAATAAATTCAAAAAAGTAGAAAACTTTATCCTTCTGAGCGCTGACGACAGGAAACAGATGTTCAGGGAGTAGAGTGCGTGTTTGTGGGTCCGTGACGGCAGAGGATTGACGGTCTCGGTGATCAGTCCACTGCGGAGGAGACGGTTGTGGATGCTTCCCCCTGAACGGCTCAGAGGTGAGAACCAGACCAGGATTCACCAAACCACTTCAGTCCACATCCTTCAAGACTTAAAGAGGATGTGTGATCTGTCTAAGCTCGTAGAACCGCTCAATAACACGATCATCCACGTGTCTTTCCATCAAATCATCTTCACTCTCTATAAATCCTCCAAAATTCACCTTACTGTCGCCTGTGTGGACCGAGATTTAGGCTTTGTCGGAAGTGTTTGGATACAGAATGAGCTGCTTTTACAAGACGTCGAGGATGTGGACTGAGCCGGTTCACTTCCTCACCTCCGATAAAGAGAAGCGCACAGGGGAAACATCCGGGACGGTCTCTCGTGTAGTCCATAAAGCCTTTTTGATTCCCATACATCTAAATACTTATAAACAGATGAATAATAGCTACTTGTCTGATGCACGAATGCAATCATGGGAAAAAGAGGGACAGTGCTGTTGCATGATTTAAACTTTCATCTATCAACGTGGCAAAAAAAACATCACGAACAAACTCACTTTGCCAGACTTACTTGTGTTAGAGTTTCTCAAACTTGATTTCACAAAACAAATCACTGATTTCGTTCATCTGTTATTGTTCTTTTGGTACAATCCAACCAGCTCTTCTCTTCCTCCAACAGCCGTCCTGAACCAAACACTTGAACTCTTAAAGCTTTCATCACCTTGTCCGAATAAGAAGAAAAAAACAAAGCGTCCTGTTTCGTCTCCTTGTCCTTCTCGGGCATTCTTCAGTCTAATCCACTTTTATGTTTAGAGACAGGAGTCTTCTGCTTCTTTTAAACTGCTGTTTCAGTCCGATTTGGGATCCGCTGCCGTCCGGAAGTCACAGTCACAGATTCCTATTTGTTCTCTGAGTAGTATGCGTTCCCATTGGGCAGCGAGGAGAAGGGGAAACCTCCGTTCCCTACGACTGGACGGCTGTTGATCTGTGGAACGAGAAAAGACACATTAATGTGGTTATTAAAGACTTTTGACAGTTTACAGATGTCAGTTTCTTTGTCCTATTTGTTTAAATTCTCTTTACATCCAAACAGAAATCAATAAATCAAATGCTCTGGAAGAAACGGTATCTGTTTGCTGACATACTGCTAAAGCTACCAAGGTAGGCAAGTAAAGAAACACGATCGAACCAGAGTCAACACCAGTTTGTGCTTTGTGTTTTGTAATGCAGATTATTTGAAAAGTCTGCACTAAATGTGAGCTTTTACCTGCGTCTGTTCACCGAAGTTTAAGTACTGCTGTTGTTGCACCAACAGGCCTTCAGAGTCGAGACCAGTGGCTATTTGGCAGGACAGCGCTGCCTCATCAGGATTCGGGATAGCCGTCAGCCCCGGCACAGATCCGCCTCCGGGGAGACTCTGATAGAAACAGGAGGACTTGGAGGGAATCTGGCTGCTGGTGCCGTTCAGTCTTTGGCAGGAGGGCGGCTGACTGAGGTGCACGCCATTTACAGGCACAGAGGGCGGGGCATTTCTGAACATACAACTGCTAGAAGGAGCCAGAGGCGGCGCGATGCTCTGCTGCACAGGAAATGGTACATTTGAAGTGTCGGGAGTCCTGAACATCGGCCTGCCGTTGACAGAGGTCTGGGCCACAACGGCACCAGAAACGGGATTCCTCTGAAATCCTGACATTTGGTTGAGGCAGGCGCCCACTTGTTGGTGTTCACTTGAGATCATTTGCTGCTGCTGCGGCCAGGACGGTCTCTGAGTGTTGTTGTTTTGGGTCTGAAGTGCTAAGTGGCCTTGTAGGCAGCTGGATGAGGAAGGATCTGCAGTATAACCTGGTTCGTTTGAAATATTTTGGGGGAAAGTTTCTACAAAGTTGTTGGCTTGGTTTGAGTTGGGGACCGCAGAAGTCCACTGGTTGCCCTGAAAGTTGAAGATGGGATTTACACTTTGGTCCTGGAGGCAGAGTGGCTGGTTGGGCATCCTCATCTGAAGGTGGTTCTGCGTCAGTTGAGCCATTTGGTTGGGTTGAATCTGATTGGTTGAAGTTTGCCCGAGCGAGAACGCTCCGAGGTTGTTGTCCTTGGCAGTGACTTGTAAGGTTCTCAGTTGGTTCTGGGTTTGGATGCAAGAGTCCGCCATGGTAGGGTTGAAGGTAACTGGAGCACCAGTGTTGCCTGTGTTGCCCAGCTGAAGACCAACAGATTGCTGTGAGACAATCTGCTGAAGGGTCGGCCCGTTTAGACCCGAAGAACCCAACTGAGGAACATCCATGTGGCTCAGTTTCATCATCCCCAGGACAGTCAGCTGTCTTGCTATCATCTGCCCTCCGTTTGGTATCAGCTGATTTTCGGGCTCCAGAGGCCAGCCGAAGTCCTGCTCTCCACCGTGGTCAGGATTCTGGTTCTGAAGGTCCAGCATGGAGAGGCAGGGTGGTATGTCATCCAACTGATCTGGCAACTTGAGGCCGCCCTCCCTCTGGAGTTGCTCCTCCACATAAGACAGGATGTCGTTGCTGAGAATGTCGTTCAGGTCTTCGCTTATCTCGGCGCTGTTGGTGCTCATCTTCAGCAGGGTACTCTCCCAGCTCTTCAGCTCGTCCGGCCCCACGTCCAGGGCTTCGGTGAGCTCGTTGTCTCCGAGGATCTGCTGCAGGGTGTCCATCATGTCCTGAACTGTGGCCTCGGACTTCACCAGGCTTCCCACACCGGGTTTGGGCGAAGTGTCCACCCAAGGATCTCCAGGAACGTTGACTGTAGCGTGGCTGTCCTTGAAGGCGACGTCGTTGAGGGAGTTGAGGGTGTTGGCATTGTTGTGTTCACAGTAGAGCGACTGGTCCTGATTCAGCATGCAGCCCAGTATGGAGTTGGGGCTGACGGAGTAGGTGTCCAACTTCCTCTGCTTGGGGGCGGAGCACGAGTCTGGGACGTCGATGGTCGGAGTTACATCGTACAGCATCGCCTCCCCGGTGGCAAAGTTGAACGGCAACTGCAGCCGACGGAGGCGCAGCTGTTCTTCTCCTTCTTCATTTCTGTGACAATAAAACAAAGAAGAGTAGTTTTAAAATCAATTCAGCTAATTAATCAATTAATAGATCAACAGAAAATGTATCATTTAAGTCTTATATTTTCTGCTTTTCTGTTTAAATTGTTGTTAACTTACGTCAGAGCTTTCTGCCGGGCCACGATGAAGTCTGGTTTCCCTCCTTTAAAGACCAGTCTGGCGTTGGCCTGGACCCAGACCCACTTCCCGGTTTTGGTCAGCAGCCTGAAGACGGTGAAACCACTTTCTCCTGTTTTTATCACTGGAAATGACAAAGACAAAGAGTCAGATATATTTATCTGTACTTTTATACATCGACCTTTATGTCTCATTAGGTCGGGCCTTCCATCATGGACCTACATCACTCTAATCATATTATTATCTTCATCTTTATCTCTTATGCATTAAAAATAAAATCAGTTAAATAAACCAGGAAACAGCAAGAGATTTTCTGTCACGGGGCTAGATCGACCTCTCTTACACTTGGTACAACACAATGAACATGCCGACTTTTCTCCGGTTTTAAACTGAAGCCACAGGATGCAAATGCCACAGTTGTGATCCACTGGGATTATTAGCAGACCAGTCTGTTTTCTACTTCAGGGCTTCTGGTGTTTCCAGCTGAGAGTTTTCCCAGCCCGAGGGAGGCGGAGGCCACGTGACCTTCTCCTGTGTGGCTTTGTAATCCTGAGCTGTGAGTTGAGCTGCAGATTAACGCTGGCCGCTCTGGGACGATTTCCCGTCTTAAAAAACAAACTGAGCATGACGACGTACGATGACGTCATATGTGGTTGTGGTTGTGGGTTGCCATCCCCTGCGGTCGAGTTATCATGTCATTGTTGCGGTTGTTGCAGCAGCCCTAGTTGTAACAAGCAAACTAAATATAAAAGAATGACTTCAGTAATTAAATGATAAACAATCTGACCTACAGTCTATATTTTAAAGGTTCTCTCTCCAGCTACCGGTCCGGGTTCAGTTATCAGTTAACGATTCCCTGCGTGTGAGGAGGGACTTACTTCTGATGTGGTTGTCGGCGCAGTACATCATGTCTGCAGCGTGGATGAAGTTGTAGCCTGAGCCTTTCATACAGAGCTCTATCTCATTGTAGCCCAGAACCACCTTCCCTCTGTAGAGGAGAGCAAGTAGAGTTATATTCAAGTTAAAACAGATTACAGGTTTCCAGATGTGTTCAGCTGCACTCTTGTAGGTTTTCAGCTTTATTCTGAGCTCTAAATGTAAATTATTGCCTGTTTATTGTTAGCTGTCTGGGCTTATATGTGTTGTTTTTGCTGCTGACTATGACTTATCAAACTTTCTTGTTCTCAGGTCTCTAAAATTAAGTTTAATAAACAATGGTTTTACTTCTATTTCTGCAAATTCTAATGTAGTTCTGGTTTTTGAAACAGTTATATATTATATTAATGATCCTATAGTGTTTTATGCTTGTCTGAACAAGTGCGTGCGTCTACCTCGTGTCGATGCCCATGGGAGTGAAGTCCAGCTTGTGTTTGGTCTGGAAGATGAGCGTCTTGGTGCGGATCTCTAGGATGGACGGCGGCTGCATCGGCGTGGCGATGGAGAACAGAGCGAGCTGCGGGGGAACCAACGTCCCGTCCTCTGACAGCCGGTTCTGACCGTGGATGAACTTCAGCCGGCCGCGAAAGTTCAGGGCCTGGAGACAAACAAAGACCTTACTTTTTAAACATGTATTAAGCAAAATATAATAGACTGGTTTTATTTAAAATGTTTATATGATAAGATAGACTGTAACAGTAAACTGAATGTCTTTGGGTTGTGGACAAAACAAGACATTTAAGGACGTTATCACAGGCTTTAGGAAAAACAGATTTTATGACATTTTATGGACGATTAGTCGAAAAAGGATCATCAGATGAATCGATAATGAATATAATCATTAGTGGAGTAAAAAGTGATCTAAAACAACATCTCAGTTCTGAAATAATGTCAGTTTTATTTTTACTCTGGAGGCATTAATCCTCGTCGGTGTGTGTTTTACCAGGAAGCCCGAAGAGTTGTCGAGCAGGCAGCGGAAACGACAGCAGAAGTTTCTCTCCAGGAAGGACGAGTTTTCTGGAGGGACGGCCAGCGGGTCGTAGGTCATCACGTTGCTGGTGACCTCTGCAGAGCTCTGATCACCTGCAGGATTGGATGAAATAATTATAAGCACAAAGTCACAGCTAATCGTAAACATCATTCATGGCGCTTTATTTAAGCTGCTTTAGCTGCCTGTCTTTGCTCCTCCTTTTATGTTGTATCTAATTAAT